TTCTAAAATTACAGCCTCGCATATGGCTTGGTGGTTAGAGGGTGCTCGACTCGCAATCTTCGTGTCGCGAGTTCCAATCCCATCACTGAACACGTTCGCTCTTTCAGCCGTGACGATCAATTCCATTATTCGATTAGAGTAACCCAAAGAGTTGGCGGTGGGTGATGTTCACTAGCTACCTTCAGCAATACAAACAGAACATATCAACTTGAAAAGTAAGAGAGCCATCATTTTGCTTTCTAATATATTCACAAACATAAATAGACTGTTCAGAGATAAAAATACAAACTGACTTTAACGCGTGTTATATATCACATGTAAAATGTTTCGGCCAATCACTTTACAGTTTGCCAAAGAGCAGTTGTACGTCTTCACGGCGAATGCACGGTAAATTATTGATGTCAAGCTCACGATCCGACAAAGGCTTCTTTCTAGCGTTCAAGAAATAAATGACTCCGCTTGAAGCTGGTAAGTTTCAAAATTGGATTCCAGAATAGAGAAAGAGAGAGAGGGGGGGGAGGGGGAAGAAGAGGAATGCCCCAAGATTAATCACAATGGCCACATACAAATCAACGAGACCGTACAGGAAAATTCGTTTGTTTGTTATACGCATCAAAACACACCTGATAAGAAATTCATAAACCAGTGGCTAGATGCTAAACTATAAGATGAAAAAAAAATCTTCCATTTTTATTTTAATATGGATAAAAAAACAACAGAGATCGTATGATGTGCAGGGGTGTATTTATGTATAAGATACTATAAGCCTTGTGTCATTATATAAACTTCAAAGTAGTAGACGTAGGAATAATACGATCCAGGTTTTGGAAAACGAACATTTAGTGTAAAAATGTTGCGTTTGTTTGTAAAGATTCTAAATACCTCCAGGAGAGCATCAGCGAATTTCACCTGATCAAGATAACTCGAAGTTTTCGTTATTAAAGAAAGATTGGGAACTCGCATTTCAGAGTTCTGATTATGTTAAAATATTTTATGTAGAAAATGGGTTTTTTTTGTTGCTACATTGCTCTAAAGTACGAACTAAAACGAGCTGAGAATCTGTGTTATTTGTTTATTATTAGTTGTAAGGCTTTTAACAAATCCAGATCTTTCGAGACATTTACAAAACACCAACAGTCGTCAGATCTTTCGAGACCCTTTACAATACACCAACAGTCGTCAGATCTTTCGAGACCATTTACAAAACACCAAC